TGGAACACGTTAAAGGTCGTAGCAGGAGAGTTCAAAAGCTAAGAAGAAATCATATTGCTGTTGAGTACTGGTTCTCACACGGAGTCATAAACTCTTGGAACCAACTCCCAGAAGAAGTGATGTCTGCAACCTCAACTGATTCATTCAAGAAGGGTTTGAACAACCACAGAAGTTTACTAGAAAAGGATTAACTGAGACACCAAGCCTTCTATTCTCAACCAATAAATCTGAATCTAAACTAGCGCACAAATTGAATATTGGCGAGAAGGTGTTTTCGCGCGTGGATCTCATTGTTTTTACTGAAGACTTGGAGTGACTATACATGCAATGTTAATCTGAGCTAGGAATACTGCTTCGTAAAATCTCACATCCTTAGTATGGGTTTAAATGTGTTATAAGTTATTTTTGACGATATATGTAAAGTAGGACAACTTAAAAAACCTTGTTACATTGCCATTGCAATCAAATTGAGTTTATCCTGCAGTCTCTAACTCACTTCAGAGACTCAGGGATTGACTTGTTGCCAGGGAATAGTCTCGTTGACTTAGAATATGCGAGGACGCTGACAAAATGCATAGTCTTCTGAACACCTTGAGCTGCAAACTACGAATGTTTGGCATGCGATTCACTCCTGCCAAATGTAAGATGATGTTACAGGACTGGACTACACTGACGCCTAGCTTAGAAATAGGGAGTGAAGTGGTAGAGCACGTTGACCTCTTCACTTATTTGGGAAGTACCGTCAGCCCCAACGGGTTGATCTCTGACGAAACCTCAGCACGGATACAGAGGGCTAGTTTCGCATATGCCGGCTTTCGCTGTCTCTGGCGTAGACGTGATATCCGGGTATCGACCGAAGGGCGGGTGTACTGCTCAGCAGTCCGCTTCGTCCTCCTTTATGGCAGTGAGTGAGACCTGGCCATTGAGAGTAGAAGACATGAAAAGATTAGCTATCTTTGATCATAGGTGTCTGCGTTATATCTCCCGTGTGAAGTGGTATAATAAGGTGAGCAATATTGAGGTTAGGCGTCGAGTGCTAGGTAAGGAGGGGAAATCAGTCGACGAGACTGTGAAATTACATCGACTGAGATGGTTAGGACATGTGTTACGTATGCCTAGTCATCGCCTTCCCCGACGGATATGTTAGCTGATATAGGGTCAGGCTGGAAAAGAGCAAGTGGCGGTCAAACGAAAACATGGCACCAGTCAATGAAATCTACAACAGTTAGTCTAAGCCACGTAGGAAGGTGTAAACTTCCTGGTTGGGGTCCTCGGGACAGTAAAAACCAATGGTTGGATACAATTGGTGATATGGCTCAAAATCGTTGTCAATGGCGCAGATGCATGCACTCCATGTCACTTATGATTTCCAATGAAACTGTTTTGTTCTTCGTTATTACTATTCCTTTGCCTCACACCTCTGTTTACTGTCTATATTATGCATTTCTTCTCTTGCTTTGTGTGCTACATGGAATGTGGCGACTTGAACTGCCGCACATCGGTGCAAAGTTCTATGTTGAAAACAGACAAACACTGCCATTTCTACTGATTTTTAATTACATGTGTGTTCTGCAATGCGCCCGAAGTCAATGCCAGCTGGGTACTTTTTCATTTGATATGAAATTTGTTGACTGCCTCATGTTGGTGGTTTTAATCATTCTATGTGTGTAGACTTTCGTTTACAACAATCAAACTTAAGTAAGATAGATTAATGGAAACGGTTCTCTAGAAAGCACAAGACTGTTGCTAGTTTTTGAACATGGTAATCAAGTCTAAGTTTGTAAGAAAAGCTCATTTGTTAACACTTTGAGGAAATTATGCTCTCCGATAAAAAGGAAAATTTAACTTGTAGTCCATGGTTAGGAATTTATGAGTTTGCCAGTAAACTATAACTATTCATTATAATAAAGGTTTTTGTATTTCCCAATGAATGAAAAACAAAACGATACCCAATGCCCAAATTTTTCCAACTGTTAAAACAGAACTTGGTTTGGATATATATAAACTATAACTGTTTACATGGAATTCAATGCATACTTGGTGTGCTACACACGCTTGTCACTTTCAGTCCTTTAGCGTTTGAAGTGCTTTCGGTCGCATAAAGTTATCTTCAAAAATGCTATGTACTACTGTAATTTAGACTTCTACTTTTATTCTTTATCTGGCTGTTTTCTACTGGATGCTTACTTTTTTCGACTCTGCTTCGTCGATATAGAATATTAAGCTTCTGTCAGTAGGCTTTTCGATGCAGGATTTGGGTCTAATCATATGGTTGTTTTACATTGTGTGCATTTAGAGTTTTGTCAAGTTTTTGAGTCGCATTGTCCCCTTTGTCGTTTTGATTTCATATTAACATTCTGTTTGTCAACATAAGCTCTTGGAAAACAAGTTACAGCTATTGATGATCAGTTGATTCTCAAACCACTTTTTGTAATTTATGAGTTTTATTTTGTGTTTTTCTGTATTTAGGGATCTCAGTTCCCAATTCACACCTGTCCGTTGAGGAAAAATGTCAAGCCGTGCAAACAGACAACCGGTATTTACTTTCCAAACATTTTCTTATTCTGTAGTATGTTCATCCAAAACTCGAAGGCATCTGTGGTGACGATAAAGGGGAGGTACTCAGAAAGCTTAGGTTGTTATGTCATTATGAAAGTGAAGTAAGTTACGACAAGTTTTGTGATCTGTTTAAGACTAAAATGGCAAATCTGGAGGAGATTACGAATAAATGGAGACGCGCAGCCTGTGATGCGTTACATGAACTAGTTTCTACATCTGACGAAGAAATAACAGAGCGAGAACTATTGCTCAAAGTGGGAATTGATCCTGCTACTATTATGCTGCCTTCAGAAGACATATAAATTTACAGACGTATCTTTGTTCTGAAGTAAATTTTGTGCTTTGGCGTATAGTTTTTGGCTATCAGACACTGAGTTTATTAATTAATGTTCTGACTGATGCTGTTATATCTTTTATCCTGATGCATAACTGGGGCATATTGTTTGATGGGTTCACTGACAGTTGGCGCTGCTCTTAATGAGAAGTTATCACAGGTTAGCATGTTGATTGTTTAAACCAGCATGCTGTTAAAGCAGTGTATAACACATGTATTATCTGTTTCCCGTAAATAATAATTGTTGTAATATAAATAAGTATACTAAAGAACTGAAATGTAATACTTATGGCTTTACTTTATCTTAACGATTGCAATTGATTCCTCCTGTGCAATACACCATCTGTACCAGAAAATCAGCCTGAGTAAGAAGTAGATTAATTCAGGGGGAACAAAAAGTAATGACAGCAGGAAAATTCAAATCGTAACTCTAGAAGTTAGGCAGTGTTATGATTGTCTCATCATCACATGGCCAAATATTTGAAGGAAAGACAATTCCTACAGTGTCGATGAAACTGAGGAAATGGCAACTCCCCTTCAAAAATCATATAATATAAGTAGCCATGAGAACTACGTCTGTTAATTTTGAAAATCAGATCTATTGTACACTTTTTAAAATCGTAAATCTTGTGAGTTTGTTCATGTATTTAGGTTTCCGAGCATGAAGCACTTAGTACAAACATCTAACACTGACTTTAGTATATAGCCAGTGATAAATATCATTTGATACCGACTACCAGACGAACCAGCACATGTAGCTAAATTTGTATGCTGAATCAGGTTGTACATCTAGTTCTGCCAAGTAGCAGAAATATCCACTTACTAGATTTACATAAGGACATATCCATAATTTTTTTCATTGCTAATGTTAATTGTCATTTCTTAAGCATGTACGTCCATTGTTCACATGAATACTGCAGTATAATTTTTCCTAGCACTATCACTAGAGGACATCAGAATTTATCAGCAAAAGGAATATACGAGCGACTGGTTGACAAGTAAATACAAAATCATGCTGTTCATGTTCAGGAAGAATAGAGCTGTCGGCCTTTTGCACCATTAGGTTTGCAATACCACATCATGAACTGATACCTAGATATCTATATTATCCTATCTATACACGTACTAAACATTGTGGTTTTACGCCATCTGCTGCATACCGGTAGTATAGTGTAAGAATCACATTGAGATAATATGTGTGCGTCGGGGGATCGAACCTCGGACCATGTGATGGTCGGCGAGAGTCCTAACCACTGTGCTACCGACGCACAACCTAACTGCTTTGAAAATATCTACGACCGAGAGAGACCCAGCTTCCTACTTTTTTGATGAAGCAGTTGCTATTAAAATTCTGATACCAAATCCATTCATGCAGAAGGAGGAAGCCGTTCTGATTACCGATCACATTTACAAAATAAAGTGATACGACCTTATCACATCACTTAGTCTTCTATATCTCCCATCCTGTTTCACACTTTATTTTTCATGTGAACGTCTCCCACTGCCTTTGCTATTGTAAAAGTCTCTGTAGTTACGTGCTAACGTATTATTTCTTGCTGAACTTTGTATTCACATTTCGAACTCCTAATAATCTGATAAATAGTCAGTCTTTTTAATACTAAATAACCGAACTTACATCCTTCCAGATTTATGTTACTTATAGTTCTATCAATAACTTGTTATGAACGTGATGAAGGTGTGTTTGGACATTTTTTGTAATTTACACATTTTTGTTACCATTTGGGTTGAAAAGAACCCGGGGAAATACTAAAAAGTTGAACTCATACTATCGTGCTAGATTCGTTGTCCTTACTTTGCTTATGTTTCTCAATGGGAAGATTTGTATGAAAGTTATATTTTACATATGCAAACAGCACTCAGGAAAAGACTTTTCACAGTTGCCATTAGTTGTACAGTTCTTTAGTAGTAATTTCTTATTGTACTAAATTCATTCAAATGGGAGTCGAAGTAATTTACAAAACAAGTTGCCATCGGACTTCATCATTATTAGGATGTCAAGTGATGAGCTCATCCAGCAAGCTGGAAATTTTACTATACCTCTCCTGATGTTTTAAATATGATGTGCAGAAATCATATAATATATTCATATAAATTTGCATATATTTTGAAAATATCACAAAGGCAACAAATATTATCGAAACATATACTATACATATGGAAAATAGTATAAATAGTAAATAAATTTTAAAAGAAAATAATTGCACATTCTTCATAGCTAGTAGATGTGTAGTACACCTTCACAAAGAAGGAATGAAATGTCATAGATCAGTTATATCTTCTTTAATTAAATCTTTTATATAATCAGGATTCAATAGTTCCGGTAATCCACCTTCAGGGAGCATATTGCTGAAACTAGTATTAAGCGGAAGTTGACGCCAATCTTCTCCATCAGGATTATTATTATTATACTCCATGTCGTTTGCTGCGTACAGAAAATAAGAAAATTAAGGTAACTGGAAGAACAAAATAAGTGTGACTATTACCCCGCCAATATTCAGTATCACACTGCGTATCAGCAAAATATGCTTTATGCTGAATTGCCAGTTTCAGAAATAATCATGACAGAGAAGGACTAATGATTAACTAGGACCATGCGTGTGAAGACAATAATACACCGGAAACCCTACATATTTTATTCTTTTTATGAAATCCAGTTCTGCAAATAGGAGTACTGCGGGTACCGAGACAGTCCATTGTTAAAAATGACATATGGGAATGAAGTTTGAGCGTTACGGAATAAAAACAAAGTAGTTGGTAGTTCCTCACTAGTTCTAAATGGCGATGTTTTTCTAGCTGGTCTGTTGGGATACCAAGTGAATAATAAATTCAAGACAATCAAATAAACTATATCTAGGAAGGATGACTAGGATTCTTTCCAAAAGTCTATGGAAATAATATTAATTCCTACAATGACAATGTATTATCTTAAGTTTGAACTCTGTTTTTTGATAACATAGTAGTCATTCGATGTGTAGATGAATTTAGGACAAAAAATTATTACGAAAAGCTGAGCAACTGCACTGCTTTATATGTAAGCATACAAACCACGATTTTCTCGCAACAGTGCTAATTGTAATTTGACAAATATCAATGAAATCACTATGCAGTTGAATAACAAACAGAGATACACAGAAATCGTGCGTGCAATTAATGCATATTTCGCCACCAAACTAGTCGATATGATCACCATTTTATGAAGGTATAACTGTTGATAAAATGCTGCAATCGCACATTAAAGACCATGTGGAACTAACTAGTTATCCAGAATATACGTTTAAAATGCATCATTATGATTATTTTCCTTTTAGGACATTTTCAGGTCAAGGAGCACAAAGCTTACTTCGTGAAGTTTTGTCAGTTATATAAACATTAGCAACAAGACTAGATAAAAGTAAACAGTAAGACGTACTACGATTTGATGAATCAAGTGTTTGATCAATTTCTCCAGTAATTATTTCGTCTGTGTCAACAGTAAAAACCGGACACTGGTTTGGTTGGGGGTCTTTACTGTCAGGACACTTCGTGGAAGGAAAATACGTTTGATTATTAGCTACCGTCCTTGTTGATGTATTGCGCTCATCTTCACTCGGCTGAGGGAAAATACAAAACATAATCAGTCGTAAATATATTTCCTATAATATTTTAAGTTAGCATTTGATGTAATCGTAAATTCGTACATGTATAAAGAAAGTTCAGTTACCTGTGCTGACTTGTAGGATGTGCTAAAAGCGTCAAAATGATTTTCGATGTTAGGATTTGACAGTTTACTGTAGTTGTCGATTTCACGTGCTAATGCTTCAGATACGCAGACCGACGTATTCCCACCACTAAAATGCAATCCAGTTGTCAATTCATTTGAATTTGTCCTAGGTGTAGAGTAATTATATGGTTTATTCCATTTTAAGGATGAAATGCTTTGGCTATCAGGCAGTTGCAAGTTTGAGTAATTTGAATGCTTAAATATTGGAGATTGTGGTTCCGCCTTGCACCAAGATGAGGAAGTGGATCTACAAAAAGAATGATGCGTATTATTGAGACAGATAACCTAAAGTTACGACACAACTAACGTCTCTGGAGAATTCTGATATCATGAATCTGCTGGCAAATAGGTAATAATTATACAGTGCTGTACTATGTGATATTGTCTGTTATCTCCAAGACTATCATCGTTCTGACAAAGTAGACACAATAGCTTTTGAAGGATATGATAGATTCATTTTATCTTGGTCAGCTGCATACAACCTCAATAAATATGTTCTTATTGCGTTATTCAAGTTTACCAAAAGAAATAACTGCACATAGTAGACACATTAGTTATAAGCAGAATATCACTCTCTATATTCTCACTTCGAAGTAAACATAACTTTCTAGAGTGCCTCGTAAACACAAACTTTAAATGTAAAATAAAATGTCTGGGTCTAAAATAATAAATGTGGAAGCCATTCCAAATACCACCTGATGATAAAAGTGACACAAATATTCAGCATAAAAAATGCAAGTTACTGGTACGTCTGGAAGGCTGAAAAAAGTATACAGAACAAAGTAAGACAATTTACAAATCTATCAACGTAGAAGCAATGTGGTGCAGACGAGATATCACAAGTACGAAAAGTACTGACAAATGATAGTCGAAACACAACCTATTCCTTTTATTAATCTACAACAAATTACGGAGACATTACAGTGGGAATTTTACAAAATCACTTACTCGGATGATGGATACAACTTGCAGACAATGCAATATAAACAATTGTTTATTTTGATAGCTGTGAAGAAGGCTTGCAAATAAACCGGACATGTTTTCTCACAATTCAGCCAAGTGATGTAAGCTGTAGATGACCCATTCCCGATAGCTGAAAAAAAGGCGAGTGTAACTTTATAATAAAAAAAACGAGAAACGGTTTTGTCTAAAGTCGAACTACCTGAATATTTTTGTCAATGGGGGAAAAATAATGTTTAATCTAAGATGACAGACACTATGAATAAAAAAATTGAGTTTTTATATGAAAACAGTACTGTACATATATCCTAGGATCATAAGCGCACCAACGACCTATGAACTTATTCTATACACTCCAAATCAATTATATGTTACAGTGTCTACACAGCAGCATTCATAGAAAGGACTATAATACTGTTTAAATAAAACTCAATATTATTCTAGTTTGATAGATATACATAATAAAGATGATTTTGTTACTTTTTTTAGTGGCACAACTGTCTAAACCTTAGTTTGGACTAAGTTGTTATGAGGATTTCACCATAAGCTGACATCATTTAGAGAACCACTGGAAAACCTTGGAGTACTGGATATCTGTTTCGTCCTAACTTGAGACTCTTCATCAGTGCGCACCCACCGGGGTTCGAGCCAAGGACCCTCTGGTTACAAGGCGAACTCGTAGACCTGCATTTTAGAAACTCGTTATTCTGAAACATATTCACAGCTGTTTCACGTTACTTTTTGTGTTTGTTTCTCAATCCTTATGATGTACTCAGTTGCTGTTAGCAATAGGGATACTTATTTAGTGGTGACTACCAAAAGGAGCCATGATACGCTCTTCACCATAATCTAAACTCACCAGCTATATTTATCTGTATGTTGGAGTGTAACTATATTTCTAATAAGAATCTAACAAGACATACATTCTATCAGCCTTCAACGCATTGTCTACTTATTGTCTGATGGATGATTTCATTTTAAAAAAAGTAACAAGCTTCGTATCCAGTAAAACTCACTTTCTTGTATAGCATGTTTAACAATACTTTGTTCAGGAATAGTAACAAAATCCTCGATATGTCTGTTCAATAAATCTTTAGCAGTCCACCCCAATATTGATGAAGAACTAGTTGCAAGATGATTTGTTTTATACAAAAGTGTCAGACAGATAAAACAAAATCAGTTAGATAAATTGACTGAAACAAACGTTAACATGTGTCAAAAATTAAATAAAATGTGACGGTCCACACTAATAAAAGTATAACGAAAGATATCCAACTGATGGCACTCAGAATCAAATACCGTAACGTTGAATTTAACTATTTACATACCTCTTATTCTGAGATAATGAATTATAAATGAAAGTAATTCTTGTGGTCGATTGTACTCAACTAACTCGTCACAGAAAACAATTTCCAAGCAATTTCTTCACTAAAATACCACTGTTAAGAAGTAAGGAAGAATGGTAAACTGTTGAATGGTTGGAGAACATTGAAATACAAAAAAGACATACTACTCAGAGCGCATATAGTTCAAAACAGAAGGAAAACATCACAACACCAGATGACGTGATATTTTGGGGAACGTACTAATCCTACCAAACTGGAGCGTCAATAATTAGAGTGAAGATGACTGATTTCTGGCAAGAAGTTCGTAGAGAAGTTAACATTATAAGTCACAACTTAATGGCTATCAGTGAAAAACAGTAGATTTACACGCAATCCTAGGAAAATAATACAGCAAAAAGGTGCTGCAGAAGGATAAAATGATTACAATTTTAAAGAATTTTAATGTGAAGGGAAGGATTATTGCATAATACACGACACTTATGCCCAATGAACAACAAAAACAATTACAAAATGGCATCCTACAAAACTGTTTACATGAATTCATACAGACAACTGGTATGGCAAATATTCACAATAACAATATTATTATTCATTATGACAAACATGTGTCACAGTGAAAACAAATAAGTCACTTGACAACAATTACCTACACCATTCATATTCCTATCATGTTTATTGATTTCAATACTGTCTCTGAGTTAACATGTAATCTATGAGCACTTAGAAGTCACGGTGTTTTATATAAACTTGACCAACATGTTTATTGACTCAAAATTTATCCAAATTCGTCATTCTCATTCCTAGTGTATCAGGATTTCAACATCACCATCGATATGGGATGTGAAATTCATCATAGACAAGACACCTACGACATACCGATACGCCCTCTCAAAATTTACTATCAATCATTTATCAAAAATATGTCTCAAGTAAAATAACATGACGACAACATATGATGCTGCTTCACTTAAGCTAATTTACAACAACAAGTAACTAATATGGGCTCTTGTCAGACAACCATCAAAGAAAGACGAATTCGCAGAATGTTTTGTTATTTTGTGTGTGTGTGTGTGCAGAGAATAAAACGAAACAACAATAAAAGGTATGTACGGATCTAGATCTAGTATATCAAAGAGAAATGCCTAAGATTCATTCTAATGCGACAAATGAAGCATCAAATTAAGTGTATACCTTCACCCTACAACCACAATGTTATGAAGTTGTGGTAAGTGCTACTCAGAGAATGTATGTAAGTAACATACCGATGAACATTCACACAAAAGTAATTACAATTTCCTTTATATATATTCAAACCTTAAATGTTGACAATTTTCTGGAATAATTTCAGCACCGAGTCAGATTCAATTATTATAAAATTACTTAAAACAATGCGAGAGTGCTTTGATTTCCTCGTTCATCTAGAGTACGCAGATGACTGACTGAGTCCCTTCGGGTGAGGACTCGGAATACCTCAAACAAAACTCTAAGTATGTTTGAGATGTGATCCACCCTCCCCAAATGCAACATGACTCTACACGAATAGTCTAAAGAAACTGCTAGTTTAAACATAGGAAGTCAAAGGGTTGTATAAATTGACCACATCACTCATTTCGGAAGTTCAATCAGCCTGACGAAATTTCAGCAGGAATACAAAATGCTCACCTAGTATTTTCTAACATGCACAATCTCTAACACACCACCAATATCCCAATATACATCAAATAATGTGAATAATGTGCACCACTTCATCCCCATCCTACTCTACAACAGTGTACATTGAAAGCGGTGATATGAAAAGGTGCTTTTGGTCATACGTGCCTCAATTCTGTCTCCTCTCATCAGACGATTAATGTACTCAGCAATAATAAGGTCAGACATGCAGTGTTGGCTTGATGAGGGAAGTCAACTGATGACATTATGCTACTCCGTCGATTCACAGGAATGGCACATGTATCACGCATATCTACCCGCCACCTTCCTCAACGAGCAATGTTGGCTGAAATAGGATTAAGTTGGAAAAGACCAAAACATGACACTAGTCGACCAGGTTTTTGACTGTTGATTTGAGCCATGCAGCAAGGAGTAGACTGTCTGACAGAGGTCCACGGAATGATAAAAGTCAAATGTTGGAGACTATTGGTGACATCGCTCAAAACTGTTTGTGATAGCACAGATGTTCGATTTCTCTTGTACATTTTCGCAGATTGTGGTTTCAGTACACTTCTTTCCTCCGCTTTGTGTGCTTTTCCAAAGTATGGTTATTTAGATGCATAAACTTTCGTGCAAAGTTCTGCGTCATGGGTAACCACGGAAACACTTCCCTTGACGTTTCTTATCTGACTTATGTTTCAGAATTTAAGTCAAATACTGTGTCACTTAAGACATCTGTCTATATCGATCATCGTACGAATAACGGAAAGGCAATTTAATTGGTGGCTCAACTCCACTCTAAGTTCTCGCAATCCACTCTATATCAAGTATACATTCGATCACTTGGTTAGTCACCATTACACTGTACTCACACAAGAACGATTTACTGTTTGCTAGACGCAGGACTGATTGAACAGGGTGAGGAGATTGTCAGCACGTGACATGATGTTGTGGGATAAAGGATAGTTGTGTTTGGTTTACACCAGTCAGAGCATCATATCCGCTTGGATAGAATTCAAGAGGGAGGTTGTCAGCTGAATAAACTGTTTAATAATTGTCATTATACAGTGATTAGTGAAGACTGTTATAGAAGAATTAGCTATAATAACTAGTACTTATCAAAGATAAAAGCTTACTTTCCAACAACTTCTGTTATGCCTAAGTCATTGCTCCCAATACGTAAAGTGACATGATCAGCGGAACTAACAGATTTTATAGGTGAACCATACTTTTCAGTTTGATTCGTCTGATTTTCAAGCTGTACATTATCAAAGACTGTTGGACAGGCCATATCCAGTGGCCGACAGACACCACGAAATAAAGCAAAAAAATCACAGAATTCATTATTTCCTAAATCCAAAAGAATAATGTATACAGTAGTATGAAAAAAACGATGAAAACATAACGAAGATATCATTAAAAACCAAATTTACATGTAATTACGTAACAAAAGGTGTTTCACAGCTTAACTGAAAATATACAGGGTAGAGAGCTACGTGAAACTAACTCCAACCAAGTGATATTTTTTGTGTAATAGTGCCATAAATTACCTAAATCCACCTCCTCCCCACCTCATCAGTAACAATAAACCGTCTGAAAAAAAGGAAGTCCAACTTTTAAATAGCCAAGATGGATATTGCAACGGAATGATAAAGTTTTTGAAAAACTGGGAACAATTAATCCGCAGATTTTTTCAGTTAGCTTTGAACTTTTTTTAAAGATATACATTGTTAATAACTCTTTATTTGATACAATGCATCGTATGTACCCCCTGTGCATCTCTTTAATACACTGAGCCTTAAGGCACATAATATATGAATGCTTATGATGATACGCGTCTCCCCGAGGTGATGTATGTATTTGAAGCAGGAATTCAAACTCAGGTCTTATAGTAGACCGCTTGAGTTGCCTACTGTGAGAGAATTTCAAACATTGTTTTCGATGACAACTGGTAGCAAATGTAGAGACTGAATACATTTTAAAACATCCTTCAGTCAAAATGAGCAGCTGGTCGAAAATCAAAATCACAGCATCTGCCAATATTTGAGACGATTGCTAACATGATCATAAACCTGTCACACAAACAATAGCAACATACCACCTGAATATAGGAATATGAAATTTTTTTAAAGTGTGAACAAGACAAGTAAATCTACATATTATTGTCTGGATGTGCTATTGTTTGAGTGGATGAAATATTTGTTTGTGAAGAGTTAGGCTTCACTAAATTGGAAATCAAACTTTCAGCAAAGAAATATCTCGCAACTTCACTTCAGAGCTGTACATTTTTATTATGGATAAGATTTTATTTTGATAAATCACACAGTGTTATACAGTAATATTAACTGATGACGTTTCGAGCACAAACTATTGCTCATAATCATATGATATGATTATATGATCGAGAGAATTGACAACTAGCCATTCAAGTGATAAATAATCATTTGAAAATAGTTGATATGATACAAGAAAACAAAGGGTTAAAAATAGGTTATGTAAGATTAGTCACATTGTTGTTTCTCATACACTTTGACTTATTTTGTCACTAACTGACAATCACTTCTGACCTTTGTTGTCAATTGACACTGTAATATATAAAAGACTTAATAACCGCACAACTTTAAAGTCAGTTTAGGACTCGCGGAATGCTGACCATGTGATGTGATAAGATGTGACCAGTTATACTGAAATAACTATGGTCAGTCTCATCAAGTGTAGCATCCCAAGTTTTAAAATGCGAATATGAAAAATCATGGTATTTTTACAAGCTTATAACGCATTGCAGACTGAAGACTAAAAATAGAACAAATGATATAACTTGGCATTTGTGTGAGTTTTATTTCCTTGCCAAAAATGTATTCTGTGAAAAAGGCAGTCAGCTACCCAATTACTTATACGGCAACCAGTTCAAAATATTACAAGAAGTTACTTATCAAAACAAAATCAAATACCTGAATTAAAGATTTTAATTAAACAATTAATTCACCAACGCATAAGAGGAAAATCGATTGGTTCAAAAAAAAATAAAAACAAATGGTTAAAAAAAATAAACATACTCTGATAGACAATATCACCGCAGAATTCAATGAACCGATATAACTGACCATCAGATCCCCGAACGCAATTTTTCAACGGAACACTAGGTCCACAACGCATAGCAATAACGAAATTGCGAGGAATAAGTTCTACAGGCACAAAATTAGTTTAGAACAAAATGGTCACTAAGAGGAGTCAGAAAATAATAACTAAACAAATACTTCACCTTAGACAACAACCATTATTATTATTATTATTATTGTATCCTTTAATTCCTACAGGAACATAGGGCTTCAGCCGTGCGTCTCCATTGCGTTCTGTTCTCTGCTAAAGTCTTCACCTGGCTCCATGTCTGCCCACACGTTTTCATCTCCTCTTCACATGACCTCCTCAAGTCACCCTTGGACGACCAACTCGCCGCTTCCCCTTCGGGTTCCAATCAAGGGCTTGTCTAGTGATGTCACTTGATGGTTTCCTCAGAGTATGGCCAGCCAATCCATCTCCATTTCTTCCTGCCTATTTGTTTCACAATCGGTTCCTGGTTGGTTCGCTCCCAAAGATCCCTGTTGCTGATCTTTTCTGGCCGGCCATCTGATCTTGAGTATTGAGCGAAGACAGCTAGCTGTTAATGAAGGTCTGTAGTTTGTTTGAGATGCTCTTTATGACGCGCAGTGCAAGTCTCTGATCCGTATAGTAGCACTGACTGACTTCACATTGGAGTTGAAAATCCGGATCTTATTTTTGATGCTGAGTGTTGTTGACCTCCACACAGACAACAACCATGAATAAACATAATTTGAAATGCTTGACGCTACATACACCACTGACTGATTGATTCATTGATATCAGTGGTTGGATGCCAATCACACCAACCAGTAGTGCTTGCTAGTCAGATCAAAGTGATCTAAACGCTAAACGGCCGTTTCGCTCTTTTTTGGAGCCAAGTACATCAGCGGTGTGCCCGGTTTGATTCAATTCAAATCACCCGAATTCTGACTAGTTACTTGGGCAAACTAGTAATAAATTAAATCAGATTCGCAATGTGAGCAGCTCAAGGTGAAATTTCCCCACAGTTTCCTTTGGAAACCGAAATTATTCAGATCACAATGTGTGATCTGCTCGATATCCTAAATGACAATCAAGAAAGTAAGCATAAATGCATGACACTATATACTGCTGATCAATTGATATGAGTAGTTGGATACAACTCTTGACAAAACACTTATATTGTAACAACAGAAGGGCCAGGCAACAGATCGTTTATTAAGGAAATCAACACATATATATTGCTTTTCATGTACATTATTATAGATTAATGTTAGCAGAAAAAGTCTTCTGATTGGTTGTTTCTCACTGAAGGTTAATCTTTCATCTCTTTGTGGCTGTTTCTTGAGTGTCGGATCATCTATATGCTGACTGTATCCGCCTACGCAAAGTCTGCTGTGGTTGGTCGTTGAATCAGTCTTTGTTCATTTTTTTCTCACGACCAATATTCAGGACGTAAACATTGACGTAAATTAACATCTACCAGTTTGGCTAGCAGACAGCTCTCACCACAATGGTATCAAGCAGATCACATATTGCGATTTCAATAACTTCGGTTTCCAAAGGAAACTGTGTTGAAATTCCACCTGGAACTGTGTAAATTGCAAATTTTTATTTAATGGTGTAATTTGAAGTGTTGGTTCACCTTGTGGCGAGTGCTACTGATAAGATTTACCAGTAGAATATAAAGAGATGTTCATCGGCATAAAAACATCAAACAGCAGGGAGATACATTTGATGTCAGAGAAGGCAAATGGTACAGCGTTGTAGAGATACATGGGAGACGTGAAAGAAACACAATATGTAGACCGGAAGTACCACAACATGAAGATCTGTGCAAATAGTGGGTTGAAGATAAAGTGTACATAATTTCGCCATATAGAGATACCAATTCCCGAATAAACATTCTTTACCAAGTCTACGTCTTCTATCGTTACAACATGTCGTTATTTATTCATATGCATCTTTACAACATTCTTCATAAATATCAAGAGATTCAAGGCTAACTGAAAGCCTGATCATTGATAAACAGAACGATTGTCTAACATAAACAATTTAAGAAAGATGGACCTTTCTAAGTTAATTAAATAAATGGAATACGGTGTATACTATTGAATTTTTCAAATCAATATTCTTCTTGAAATATTGTCTGTCTAATGAATAAAAGTTAGTGTGCATGTCTGAATTTCGTAAGACGTAAACCATATGAAATTTCGTAGACTGGGTGAAAGATAACACTAATGGTGTCAGAGATAATCATTATACCCGACAGCTAAAACATTTAAAGATGGAGCAGAGTTAGTAACTCTCACATATTCGTAAAAATATCAATGCCTAGACATTGTGTAAATGTTTGTTGCACAGGTAAGAAATACTTCGCACAATTATGACACACGGTTGTACGAAGATACTATAGTGATGATAGAAACAGCTGATGAATCTATCTGATGTTTTTAATTTTTAGCCACATATCAACTTTTAAAACCCAATAGTAAACAAATCAACTTCAACACCGGCTTTTTGACAATGACGTAATATCGGGAACAGATTAAGTATTATTATTATTATTCCCTTGAGTTTCAATTGGGACACAGAGCTTCAGCAGCACATCACCCTGTTGTCTGAGGTCTCCTTTAGCTGGCTCCACGGCTACCCAAAAGCTTTATTCTCCTCCATTTCATCCTCGAACAAGCTCAGTTTGTCGTTTCTCATTCGGATCCCAATTAACAACCTGCCTGGCGTGTGATGTCACTCATCGGTCTTCCCAGAGCATATCTAATCCATTTCCATTTCCTTCAGCATATTTGTCTTGGTAATAGGTTGTTGGTTAGTTCAGTGGTAGAGTTCTTTGTTGCTTCTCCTTTCTTGCTGGAAATCTGATCTTCATTATCGAGCGAAGGCAGCCTGTCGGAAGCGCTTCCTGTGACGCACCAAGTCTCTGAACTACACAGAAGCACTGATTGGATATATATATATATATATATATCCCAAAAATTACCTTAAATTCCCCCCTCAACTACGAAGTCAACAAGCTTGACTAAATCAACGAGGTCAAATCACAATTTCTTACACACAAAGAAAAAAAACGAATCAAAATAGAAAGTCATAAAAACGTCCAGAAGTTTCAAGTAGTTATGCTTCCCAATAACAATTAGAAGCTTTTATTAGTCTCCTAAGGATTATGAAACGATGTTTTCATCCAATTTACTATAGAACAAAGATGTTCTGCATTTGAAATAACCAGTCATATTGACTTTTAGTTCCGCTAGCTGATAATTCGTTGTTAGAATGTTGCTTTAGTCACGTAGGAAATAATTGGTTTGCTTCATTAGATTCGTATTTAGAGTCAGTATTAAAATGTGCTATTAGTTTTAAGCAATTTCATAATATATACGTCACATGATATTCTGACAAATAACTTATTAGGTTAACAAATGCTCAGAGAGAAAATTTGCCTTTTTCTTAATTTTCTAAGTTTCGTTCGAACTTTAGGCTGTTAAATTATATCTTCAAATCAGCAGGAAAAGTTTAAACTGGCTGTTTTATCAACAAACATGAAATCTCAAAATGGACGAACAATAATTACATTTTCCAAAAAGGGTTGTATATGCGTGAAAGTAAATAGTCACAACTTGCATTGTTCCATACAAGAATCTAAGTGAGCAAGGAATGTTTGCTGTGATAATCAGAGTAAGCATAAATTCATTTGATGATTAGAGATTATATAATTGGCTTTAATAAATGAATCGCTTACCTCCATCTTTTGCTTGTTGCATTTCAGAACCATAGAACATGAGGCTATCACGAATAATACGTTTGGTATTGCTACTTGGTTCTGCTACATCATAAAGCGTCTGACCTACAAAATTGGCCTGGAAGTGATAATGTCAATATATTGTAATTGTGAAGAATATTAGTAATTAATATATGCCTATGTAGGTTAAGAAAATTAAGTTATATTCCACAACAATACTAGCAAAGCTATATTTCATTTATCCGCGAAGACAGGTCGGTTATAGGACCTTCAGATAAAAGAATACTCCTTAAATGATAACCAACAATATCCTCAATGTAAGTGTTGAAGGTTGGCACTTTGATAGAATGTTTATTTTTAAATATCACACAGTGATGTAGTATTAACAACTGGATGACGTTTCGAGCATAAATTATTGCTCATAATCGTATCAATTTTAGTCACACGGTTTCACAATTTGTCTTATATATATTTTTCTCTATTCTGTCTCTCCAACTTTCATTTGTTGTTTGTTGCCACTTTCCATATCTCCGGTATAAGCGTTGCGTCATTCCAATCGCAAGGATGAAAGATGAAAAAATTATTATTTTCGACATAACCAGTTTATATACTAATATTCCCATTAATACAGCTCTGGAGGCAGTTAGAAATGAACTGAACGTTGATCCTGAACTCGAAAGTAGGACTAAGCTCTCGGTTGATGGAATAATGCTAGGTCTTCTGTTAGGTCTAACCTCCACTGTATTCAAATTTCAAAATAAACTATGGTGCAGATATGGGGATGACATACTCCATCACTGTGTTGAAATCTGAACATATCCCTCAGATTTTCACACATTTAAACTCAATAATAGACGGAATTCAATTCGCTTCTGAGTTAGAAAACGAACACGGTGAGTTGGCCATGCTAGACTGTAGAATAATACGAAAACAAGATGGTGGATGGTTAAATACTAGCATTTATAGGAAACCGACACACACACACTCTAATAAGTACTTAGACTTTAATTCATCCCATCAGCGATCGGTGAAGATGGGTTTAGTTGAATGTCTGTATAATCGGGTCAAGAGCCTGACTAGTATGCCAGAAGATTTAAATAGCGAAATCAAATAAATACAGGAAATATTACTACTGAATAACTGCCCACCACAGTTTACTCAAAATAATATATGAAGAACGATAGAAAAATTAAGATTAGCAATAAAAATGACGAAAATAATATAGAATCCAAAGCCTCTTCTAGTAATGCCGTATAAAGAAGGAAAGTCAGAGGCTTTACGTACGATTCTCAATGAGGCTGGAATTAGGCTGGCATTTAAACCAACCAACTGTCTCAGAGATAAACTTTGTCGGCTTAAGGATCCAATGTATCCAATTAGGGAAAATAATATTGTGGTGGTGTGACACACACAACGTGTGAAAACTGAATATTATTCTCACATGTTCCCACAGTTCAATTCGGCACTAACAACAGAATACAATATATCTATTTGAACATTCTGTTTCATGTTGTTTGATGTAAACCAAAATCACACGCTCAGTGATTAGTCAACGAATATAAACTGTAGTTATATAAACAGCGGTTTGATTAATGAAAAACATACTATGGCTTCCGTGTCTTGCCTTCTGTTTTTGCAATATAATTTGTCAAATACCATGAAATGACTGTGAGGTCAATTACATAGGTCAGACTAGTAGATCAGGGTCAACTAGACTATTGGAACACAAAAATTTAGCTAAACCCTGCTAAGATAAATAATCTAGAAAAAAGCCCAGCCATTGCACTGCATTCGCTTGCATGCAATCACAAAATAGGGGGGGGGCAGGGTGAGAGTATTAAAAAGTAACATAGTTAGGTGGAGATACAGAGAGGTTAATCACTGAAGCTGGGTTCGAACCCCGGTGGGTGCGTACTGATGAAGAGTCCCAAACTAGGATGAAACAGCTCCCAGGTTTTCCAATGGTTCTCTAAGCAATGTCAGCTCATGATGAAATCCTGTAACCACTGAAGCTTTGTTTATCGATCCAACACCGCACACATGCAATTGGAATGACACAACGCTTATATCGGAGATATGGAAAGTGGAAACAAACAACAGATGAAAGTTGGAGAGACAGAATAGAGAAAAAATATATAAGCAGTAATTTATGCTCGAAACGTCATCCAGTTGTTAATACTACATCACTGTGTGATATTTAAAAATAAACTTATCTAATATAGAATACAAAAATATCCGACTTTAGATAAAAATAATAAGGAATTTTTCATGACAGGTGAGGACCTTCTGTCCATATACACAATTATTCGCACATATGTCTCCAGGTTCTCCATAGTTCGCAGTTTCTTCAAAATAATTATATTAAGTCGAGTCGCCCATAGATCAAAATGTAAATAAATACTACCACACTCCGAATATTGAACGGTAGTAAACACATGGTGGAGAAATCATGTGCTCAAACGAAGCCTACTTGATTCCATTGTTTACTGTTACCAAGTAACAGATTGAGCTGAATAAATAATCATGAAAATTTAAATTTTTCAACCAAGTTTTTCGAAGATGAATGAAAAAAGTCTAATGAAGATTCTTGCTTCCTGTTTGTTTTGAAGTTATGTAAAACACATAAATAGCATAAATGCATGACTCGTTGAGCCACTACACAATGAGGCGATGAATTCATCTGAACCATGATCATTCAGTTAGCAATTGTAGTCTAAGTTATCATAATTTAATACCTCCAAATCACAAAAACTGAAACAGGAGACAAAAATGTACTAGACTATGAGCCATACTCTGTGTATGCGGACTAATGATACCACCCAATCGCCCAGGTTGAAGTAGGCACAGAGACATTCAAACTCAGGACCCATTCGTCGGAAGTCAAGAACTAAAGCCACCAATCCACATTTCCAAGTGAATGAATTTATAGCACGTCTTAGACTAACCACCTTTTTATTCCTTCCAAGTTACTTATCGCTTCACCAGCTTAAGGTATAGAAGTAATGAGTAGGTAAGGGTGAAATATTACTTAGGCACCTTAAGCGATGGACATTAATAACTTCCGAAACTGGCAGCATATTTTAAAAACAGTTATGAATCGACTGACAATCCCCGAAAGTACACCAAATGACTTTATCAACCGAAGTAGCTCTATTTGAATACAAATTTAGTAAGACAATTGAAAACCAAATTCCTAAATTATGAACGCAAAATTTTAAATACACTTTAAACTTTATTGAGTTTTTTTTCTGTTGCGAATTACGAAAGAAACCAGCTGGAGAAAAAAACAGTCATTGAGACTAACCTGAGGAATATCAAGCACTTTTAGAACATTCTCTTCATGCAATATTTCACCATCAGAACATCTTACGTGAATAGCAAAACCGTTAATAGTCTAAAAATTAATATTTAGTGTATGTTTAATCTTACATTCATAATTATACGTGAGTACTCTTCATCATTAATGATATACTCTCGTTTCCCTAATTTATCTAAATAAATAAAAATTTTAAGTATTGTGGAACAGAGATATAATATGAACATACTACCATAATGAATAAGTCTTTCAGCTCCAGCAAGAAAGATGGATAGTTTGTCCTTACACTGGGAATGTGGCACTTGACGGTGAAGAAATTCTGTTTCCAACTTCATTCGTTCACGCCGCTTCCTTTCTATTTCACTATGACTCTCTCTGTATAGTAAAGAAAACAAAAACAATTACGAAACAATGGCATCTTACAAAACTGTTTACATGAATTCATACAGACAACTGGTATGGCAAATATTCACCACAACAATATTATTATTCATTATGAAAAACATGTGTCACAGTGAAAACAAATAAGTCACTTGACAACAATTACCTACACCATTCATATTCCTATCATCTTTATTGATTTCAATACTGTCTCTGAGTTAACATGTAATCTATGAGCACTTAGAAGTCACGGTGTTTTATATAAACTTGACAACATGTTTATTGACTCAAAATTTATCCAAATTCGTGATTCTCATTCCTAGTGTATCAGGATTTCAACATCACCCTCCATATAGGATGTGAAACTCATCATATACAAGACACCTACGACATACCGATACGCCCTCTCAAAATTTACTATCAATCATTTATCAAAAATATGTCTCAAGTAAAATAACATGACGACAACATATGATGCTGCTTCACTTAAGCTAATTTACAACAACAAGTAACTAATATGGGCTCTTGTCAGACAACCATCAAAGAAACACCAATTCGCTGAATATTTTGTTATTTTGTGTGTGCAGAGAATAAAACGGAACAACAATGAAAGGTATGTACGGATCTAGACCAATGATATCAAAGAGAAATCCCTAAGATTCATTCTAATGCGATAAATGAAGCATCAAATTAAGTGTATACCTTCACCCTACAACCACAATGTTATGAAGTTGTGGTAAGTGCTACTCAGAGAATGTATGTAAGTAACATACCGATGAACATTCACACAAAAGTAATTACAATTTCCTATATATTCAAACCTTAAATGTTGACAATTTTCTGGAATAATTTCAGCACCGAGTCAGATTGAATTACTACAAAATTACTTCAAACAATGCGAGAGTGCTTTGATTTCCTCGTTCATCTAGAGTACGCAGATGACTGACTGAGTCCCTTCGGGTGAGGACTCGGAATACCTCAAGCAGAACTCTAAGTATGTTTGAGATGTGATCCACCCTCTCCAAATGCAACATGACTCTACACGAATAGTCTAAAGAAACTGCTAGTTTAAACATAGGAAGTGAAAGGGTTGTATAAATTGACCACATCACTCATTTGGGATGGAAGTTGAATCAGCCTGACGAAATTTCAGCAGGAATACAAAATGCTCACCTAGTATTTTCTATCATGCACAATCTCTAACACACCACCAATATCCCAATATACATCAAATGACGTGAATAATGTGCACCACTTCATCCCCATCCTACTCTACACCAGTGTACATTGAAAGCGGTGATATGAAAAGGTGCTCTTGGTCATACGTGCCTCAATTCTGTCTCCTCTCATTAGACATGCAGTGTTGGCTTGATGAGGGAAGTCAACTGATGACATTATGCTACTCCGTCGATTCACAGGAATGGCACATGTATCACGCATATCTACCCGCCACCTTCCTCAACAAGCAATGTTGGCTGAAATAGGATTAAGTTGGAAAAGATCAAAACATGACACTAGTCGACCAGGTTTTTGACTGTTGATTTGAGCCATGCAGAAAGGAGCAGACTGTCAGACTGAGGTCCACGGAATGATAAAAGTCAAATGTTGGAGACTATTGGTGACATCGCTCAAAACTGTTTTCGGTAGGACAGATGTTTTTTCTCTTAAATTTTCGTCAATATTTCCATTACACTTCCTTTCCCTTTGTGTGCTTTTGCAAATTGTGGCAGCTTAACTGATGCACTTTTTTGAAAAGTTCTACATTGAAAATTGGGTACTCTATGTAACTAACCATGTACACCATAATTTGGTGAGATGTAGTGGCCTATGACACTAACTCCAGGTATGACGTCAGTCTGTAGCCTGATGCCGAAACTGCGCCTCCTTTGAGCCAAAAGTGAAGCTACTGATTGTTGAAAGCAGTTTCATGCAAGTTCCTCGTATTTCTGTAGCCTATTACTTGAAATGTCTTAAATAGTGATTTATTTTATTCCTTTACGTGCCGAGTGCAACACAGGACTAATCTAGCGCTTTGAAGTTCCAGTAACAGTGGTTTTATTTTTACGGGTTGGAGCTGCTAACCTCATGCCCAACCTTCCCTCTTTACCGGCATTGCTATCGGCTTAGAGAGGTTTAGGAGTGCATCGGCCGAGGATCGAACCCCAGAACACGTGAGTGGTTGGTGAACGTTCTACCGCTGAACCAACAATGCGTAGCGATTGGTGACCATTATGCTTCATAGCTTTGCCTTACCTTGTCTCTCTGCTTACATCTTTCAGCTTTTTCAGATGAAGAGTAACACCAATAATTTAATCATCAAATTTTATGTTCGGACATTAGATAAGTGAGGCAAGTTCTTGGGCAATCAAAATGTTCCATCTTTTTAAGGGTTATATCAGGATTCATTGTTATCAATAGCAGTCTTACTAGGATCACTTTTTGCCAACTGACAATCTAGATTAAGAAATACTTTGGAATAAATTCGTATAGTACCACGCCATCATTTCTCAACTGATTTGATCTCATTCGGACTTGATGTACGCCTAGGCTAACCTACAAAACTTTAAATATCATCCACTTTCTTTAACCTAGAGTATAACGAAGACGTGGTCAGAAAATGGCATGACATTATGAGACGGTTTATTAAGACGAGTCGGCACTTTCAGTGTGTCACATCTCCTAAAGTGAAGTCCATCAAACTGAACAACTTAGTCAGTTGAGATTTTATCATAAATAGCTCAGAGTCGAAGAGAATAACAAATTTAAACTCACCCAATGAAAATCTTGTGAACGTTGTTGTGGAAATGATTCTGGCAATTGCTCTGTTTGTTCCTATCATACATTATATCTTGATGTCATTACAACGTTGTTATAATACTAAGTTTAGACTATATTTTGATGTTTGTATAAATAAATAGCGATAAAAATGAACCAAGGTACTTTATAACCCTATATCTCAAATTTGGACTATTCCGTAAGTATGGATTCTTTGGTGCACCTGGAAAATAGAGGCTTACTGTTTGGATACTTGAAAAAGTATATCACAACACCTTACTTATGTAATTTCGAGAATCCCAATCTTCAGAAGTCAATAATAATATAGGTTCCTAATGACTACTGTCGACCAATGTAAAATATGAGGTACTTCTGAGATTACAAAATTAATACACCGTCTGTATTGCAAGAAGTATGTAGGTGTATCGCCAAATAAACAAGCCAAAAAGCTGAAAACTTCCTCAGGAAAAAGTGTTAATTAACAACTCATCAGAGAAAAATAAAACTGAAATAGAGGTCTTGACCCAGTTTATATCATAACTTGAAGTGGAATAGACATATGTGTGATTCTTATCAGTTCTGGTCATTTATCATAGTTTGAATTAAATGTTAAAAATAAAATCTTACTTCTGAAGTTTTTCTTTGTTTTGTTTGCGAGACGTCTGGCTTTTCTCCATGATATTATTACTGATCCTAAAAAATTAACATGATTTACATAGAAGAAATTGTAAAGCAGCACAAATTTATGCCTAATTAAATAGCATGGTGAAATATGCAAGCCTGCATACGAAAAGACAAACAGAAAAAGCTTAAGATAAGTATCTTTACGTCGTATACAAAACCATTTGAGACGACGGTTTACAAAGCTTTTAACGGGAACCTGCAAAAACACTGGTCAAAGCGACACATGTCGGTCCACGTCACACTTGGTTTAGGTAGCTACAATGTTAGTCTGACCAAGGAAGGTAAGGTTTACATAACCTTAGTATGTGCAGTTTTTTTCAGACTGAGAAATCTAGCCGCACCAAGCGAAATCGAGGTCTGGCGGAAAGTGCTTAAACATGATGGGAACTTACTTAATGAGTATTGTTATCATGCAAAATTAGCTTTGGTGCCTTGACTGTGTCACAAAAGTCAAAACCAGCAGAAATCATGCCTTCTACTAAAAAGCAATGCAAAGGAATGGAAACCACCTTTGAATGTACATCATGAAAATGTTTATCTGTTCATCATGTCCTCGAATCATCTTTGTTCTTATTTTTGTCCCTATATATTAAACTATTTTTCCATCTCCACATTGTATGAAGTTTGTTCCTAGGGGTATACATACTTCTCAAATAACTTTTTAGACACGAAAACTTCTAGGTTACCTATAACTGTTTGATTTTAAAGGAAAGTCCAGCCAGATTTACTTTAACCTCAGAAAAGTAGTTTACATTTAGACTATGCAATTCTCATTGTGTGCTAGTGAACACCGATAGTCAACTGAAACTTGACTGGCTTTCATGATGTCGCACTGTAAAACGAAATAATCCCTATACAGCTTTTGGATAGATTTACACACCTATTTATTTCACACGTCGATTTGTTACATCCACATCTAAATGTATGTGGGATATTGTTTTGACAGAGTATCTCATAGATGTAGTATACATAATAGTTCTTAATTGTAATGGGATTAGTCTGTGGAAGATAAACAAAAACCTTTACGCAGCAAGATTTCTATTCCGAAAATGACATCATCAAACAATTTCCATATAATTAATTTTTTAGAATACACAATAAACACTGATCATAAAGAATTAGCTTGAAAAAGGGCTAAATAACCAACTCAGTATGTGCCATAACTGTTGGTTTGAGTTGCTGTACATTGATAATCCGTTTGCATGCACTAGGGATTCAATTTAACCTAGATGAATATATTTGTAGTTACTCTCAATAGTAATTCGGATTTTCTTCAGTAAGCTGATGTATATGTAGGTCTCAGCAACTTTCTTCTGTTCACAATTATAAACTGCTTTCCCTAAAAGTCCACCGATCCACCATCACTATACTATCCACTCTGTGCATAATTCGCAACTATTTTCTGCACTTGCATGGATAAGTCCTACACTAAACACATTTCAGATTCATAAGACGAAAAATATAACTACAGGAATCTACGTAGCACTGAAGAAGCATTCAGTATGGTGAAAGATTTCAACAAGAAATATAATTCAGTCAAAATGAGCAAGCAGCGGAAAGCTACTGAATATGAGCAGTTCCTATTGTATGGCAGTTCAACGACCCTTCGTGATGTTTTACAGACTTTATACGATAATTTAACGACTTTTCCCTTAAGTATATACATACCTAACAATCCGAATCATGTAACCCTTTCATCTAGTTACATCCAGAAACAGTTAGAACATTTTTTCAACAAATTCGCGTGCACTCATGGTTTTGAATACGCTCATTAAGTATATTCGTTAGTACACCTTGTCAATGACGCAAAAATACAGGGTCCTTGAAACCTTTGTTCTAGCATATAAATCTCATTCGCATAACATTGAGAGGTATTCATAGTACAAGATACACTGAAATTTTACCTGTAGTCAATCTGTAAATTAGATGCTTTGATGAAGTCATAAAGATGTGAATATCAACAAATATTTTTCCGAGAATCCTTAAGTAACAAGAAAAGCCAGTGCAACTATGCATATTGATTCGCACTATTCCTAACAGTACTATAAGTACCGATAAAAGACCGGGAATAACTTGTTTTTTAGAGGCAAACAAATGGGTAATTCGTTCATTCAGGTCATGCACTACTCGTATCCTTTGGAGTCCATGTCTATCAGGTGGCATAATTCCGTCATGAAACTCAGCCCACCGCAGTTCGCCATATAAATTCCAAATGCATGTGCGTATACACGCAGAAAAGCTTATACTCTACGCCGCTGACGCACACTTGTAAATCTGACTGACTGAGGACTTAATGGGTCTGTAAGATTACAAAGAGTGCATATGCGCCATTGAGAAAGTTCCCAAGCCATCTCACCAATAGTCTCCAGTCATTGGTTTACAGCATCCCACGGTCTCCAACCAGGCAATTTACACTTCCCTAATTGGTTCGAACCGAATATCAAAGACTTCATCGAATGATGCCAGGTTTCAATTCGACCATCCTTAGCTCTTCTCCAACCTAATCCTAACGGTATGCGTAAAACGCGTCCTAGTCTGCGTAGCTCCACAACCTGACTTCTTTGCCTAGCAATCTACACCTAATTTCAATATTGCTCAACAAATTATACCACTTAACATTTGAGATAGAACGCTAGCTTCTTCACATTTTCCTATTTCAACAGCTATGTCTCACAACCATAGAGCAGAGCTGCACGAACTGTTGCACAGTACACACATCCTTTGATGGGTAGCAGGATATCACCTATAAATCCGGTAGATTTTTAAACTAACTTAGCTTAAGCATCCTCTGAAAGCAACTAAACTCAGAATATTTACTGACAAATTCTTTTCCGCGTAACAAAGGTTCGTAAAACAAACAGTTCTTCAGTAATTAAATATTTGGCACCTAATAAAGATTGTTTAGATTGGTGCTCACAAATACCTATGGAACTTGTCACAACAAGTGCCGAATAAGTTCAAAGCACCGACTATGTAGTAAATAACAGTTATGCTCAAAAGAATGATTTAGATAACATTTGGAATCGCCAGATGGTGAAAGTTCATTTTGCCTTCAAATTCTCGGAGATGCCAGTTATTATGAAACTCATCGTTACCTCATTTTAAGTGACACTTTGGGACAGCTTGAAGAAGTACTGAAAATGCTTAATAGTGCCAATAACATAACCTCGTTGTCAACCAACTCTAGACTTATGCCATGTTAGCAGAAAAAGCATGTTAAAATTTAATATTAAAATGAATTATGTAATACGACAAATATACTGATGAAATTCATGCAAAGTGAATTTCCATCTATTAGTGAGAACACTATGTTTCTGTTTTCTCAGCCTGATGATACATATTAGGAAAACAAGACAAGAAAATGTTATCTAAACCGTAAGGTTTATTTTCAGCAATGAACTAGTGTCCATCATCGTACCGCTTTCTTCTGACTTGAGTATTACTCATGTTGGTGTCTGTTGGTTAAAAGTGATAATCAATTATAAGCACCTAACGCCACTAAATTATTACTTTTTTGAGAACTTCAGGAACCATGTGATGGAGTTACAGCAGGAAATGTAAAAACCATTCTTAGTTAGTTATAGCACATTAATTTTACTTAAACCTTGTAAATTAGCGAAGAATCATGTCAAAGCTAGCAGAAAATTAATTAACACAAAAAATCTGATGCTAAGTCAATTGAAATTGCCGAAAAGTAAGAATTACTTCAGTGCATCTGCAATGCTACATGTCACTGATAAATGGATCTCGTCTAAATGACGAAGAATACCCCCTGCACTTTCTACGGTTCCGTGAACCATTTATACTAGGCTACGTTCAGATTTGTGAAGTGAACCACAGAGTGAATCAGTCTATTAACACCACCAATGGCATACTTGACCACGATTACACCAGGCACACATGGAGAACTAACCACAGTTCCCTATCTGAGTTCGAAATACAAGCCGCCGTAAATTCCAGAGACCGATAACTCGAAAAGAAAAACCATGACTATATGAAGCCACAGATTCACAGTTTATGCAGTCTGAATAAAACGCTAAAACTAACAAGACTCTGTAAAGGTATTTCTACCTCCTGAAGGAGACTAAATTCCAGATTCCATCAGTGATTCCAACTCAATAACCGACAACCCATGGGTTACTTTGAAATTACTAACTACCACGAAATTCGTGATTTTCGAATAGTAAATGCAAAATTTAGCCCCAGTCATGAGAGTAACTTTATTTAAATGTAATTTTTAAAGTTATTTGATTCCCTGTCGAACTGGAAAGTCGACTGCTTAAGTCAAGTGTGCTTGAGGAAGATTTCTATTTCAACTACTTCACGAGTATGGCAAACATGAGCTTCTGACTGACATCAAAATAATCCGAAACACTACAACAGACTCCGTAGTCTCATCAACACACATCATTTCCCTCAAACCTCAAAATGCCTAAGTAATTACCCAATATGCCTTACATGACATTTCCAAATAGATTCAGATGATAAGGATAGTACGCTATTGTGGCCTGTGTTAATCCTTGCAAAAGATATCTCTGCAGAGATCTAACTTCCCTTTGAAAACGCTTACTGATGGGGCTGATACTACTGAATCAGGTAAGGGGTTCCAATCGTTGACCACTCTGTGAGAGAATCTACAATCCATTTTTTTTCATCGCAATAGCAGCTTCATCTTCCATTGGCCCTTCATAGAGCATTTCTATTCTGTACTGCTGTGAGGTCACCGGACTAGGGAGGTGGATACATATCATTTGCAAAAGAGAGTCACCAGCTGGAAGCCATTTATGCAATGCTGTTTTCAAACGCTGCTTGTCAGGAAGAGAGCTCTCTGCTTCACTCAGTGATATGCCCATTTTAGTGAGTAGGTCAGTTTGCTCCTCCTTAGTTTTCTTCATAATAGTTTCAAAAATCTTGTAAATGGATGACAGCACAAATTGATTGAACCCTCGAACACCATCACTAGCAGGCTTTTCTTTCGTCCACTTCTTGGTCTTAATATTATAAAATTATCTCCCCAGAGTCGCTCAACCATCTTGTTTGGTTCAATTTAAATTTACTAGCATATAATCTAGCGAATGTCATCAAAGTAAAGGCCCAACTCTGCAAACCGGGACCGAAACCAACTGTCCCCTTCATAGCATCTACTGCTAGATCGCCCATTTGGGTATTGGCTGACTCAAACTCTGAAATGATGACGTTGACGTTTTCAATTGTTCTTTGGAACTTTTGATACAAATCCTCCATGTCACAGCTCAAAGTCATGACTGCCATATCCATCTTATTCATGAACAACACAGGCTTGATACGTTCAGTTAGAGCCTGACGCACGTATTTTAATCGTCCTCGTTTTGAGCACCTTTTTGCGGTGACCCCGTAAATGTGTCCTAATAGAGGAGAAGAGGCTGGGAAGGTCAGTTCCTAAATCACCCTTAAGTATACGGTATGCTAGAAATTAAGTCGCCTCTCTTCATTCGGTGATAACAGGAAGACATTTAAATGCTCCATTCTTTTGTCATAGGGAAGGTGTGAGATACCAGACGAAAGTGAAGGAATTATTATCAACGAACTGATTGCCTAATATTATTATAGCGGGATCACACGCGTCGTCGCAGCACTGACGTTAAAAAATTACCATATATGAAGCCAAACCTGTAAAAAGCTTCACATAGGTTGGAGTGAAAGTGAAACTACACAGCTACAAATAATAAAAAATACTGCCACCAGAATAAAAACGTGCTGTTCTCCTGAACTTATCCGATTTTTTTCTGTAAACACACATAAAAACCTGACAAGTGAGCACTCACCGCGTCGACCTTGAACTAGTCCAATTAAGCGCCCCGAAATTGACCTTCAGAAGCTTTGATGTATTTAT